ATGTTTGGCTATATTGGATTCCATTTGGTGATGGATCCAAAGGAAATTCAATTAATATCCTGATAGTTTTAACGATGTTTAGCAAAAGTAATATTAATATTAATATAAGTTATGCTTTTGTGATTTTGCTTCAAGTTTTCTATGACTTATACGTTCTAATTGTGTGCGTATAGTAGACCATCCCCATCGGACAATCTTCTCCGCTGTAGGAATATGTCTTCCAATCACCTAAGGCATCTCGATTCCATGTCCCTGTTACCGTCAGGCGCCGGTAAGATCTCTCAATTGAACGCAGTTGTTTTAGGGGAATCCCTTGCATCCGAGGAGAATGATCTCATCTTTCCGAGCAAGGAATTCTCCGCTCAGGCTCTTGTTTCCTCCCCCCAACAGGTATCTCTCTCTTCTAGCATCAAATGAGTCCTAAATCAGCACACCTCATCTTCCCTGCTTGCATTTTTGTGATCTGTAAATAATTTATCTTCTTGTTATGGCATGCAGTACATGGAAATGCATAAAAGGTCAATCGACGACCCTGCTGGTTTTTGGTCTGACATTGCGTCTCAATTTTACTGGAAGCAGAAATGGGGTGACCAAGTGTTTTCCGATAATCTCGATGTCAGGAAGGGTCCTATACACATTGAGGTGGATGATTTTCTTTTTTTAATCCTTTCGTTGTAAATCTATTGGCACTATTTTCTGCATCTCCTATGAGCAAATTTTTCATCTTTATGACATGTCTGAGATCCTGTATGTCCAGTGGTTCAAGGGGGGAATCACCAACATTTGCTACAACTGCTTGGACAAAAACGTTGAAGCTGGTTTGGGTGATAAAACAGCCATTTACTGGGAAGGAAATGAACCTGGTGTAGGTGCTTCTTCAACTTATTCTGAGTTGCTCCAACAAGTTTGCCAGGTATAAACACTCTTATCCGTCCTCTCTGACCACCTCTAAAACCCGTCTTTCTCATTAATTTGTTGGCACTGGATTTGCCTTGTCCTCGTGCTGCAGCTTGCTAATTACTTGAAAGATGTCGGAGTGAAGAAGGGGGATGCTGTTGTTATTTATTTACCAATGTTGATGGAACTTCCCATCGCTATGCTTGCATGTGCACGGATCGGAGCTGTTCATTCGGTAACCCATGAAAACTGTACATTTGTCTACAATGCAACCTTTATCTAATTCATTGTTTTGAAATTAATTAAATTCTCCCCCAGGTTGTTTTTGCTGGATTTTCTGCTGACTCTCTTGCCCAAAGAATCATTGATTGCAAGCCAAAAGTAATACTAACTTGCAATGCTGTTAAAAGAGGCCCTAAGACCATAAACCTTAAAGCTATTGTGGATGCTGCACTTGACCTATCCTCTAAAGATGGAGTCTCTGTAGGTTAGTCCATTTACCAGAATCTCAACTTAGGTTCTTTTTCTATATCTTTCCTGTATCTTGGATTCAGCTGGATGCTCAGAAATACCATGTGCTGGTTCTTTCTCTTTACACTTTATTATAAGTTTGTTCACTGAGCACAGCAATGAAAAGATGGGAAACAGACATTGCTTGTTGGTTTGATGTGTTCATAACTGATCGTGTCTCATGCTTCTCTACAACCAGGCATATGCTTGACCTATGACAACCCATCCGCGACAACAAGGGAAAAAACTAAATGGAAGAATGGAAGAGATGTCTGGTGGCAGGTAAGAGCTGTTTGCTAATTGGCAAAATGCATTCATTTCTTTTTTTCCAGCGGTTCTTAAAGTCTGCTGTGGATGGTGGTGATCTCTTTAGGATGTCATTTCTAAATATCCAACATCGTGTGAAGTGGAATGGGTTGATGCGGAAGATCCCCTGTTTTTGCTCTACACCAGTGGAAGTACCGGGAAGCCAAAGGTATTTTTGGTCATTGGTTTGATTTCTTAGACTTATTTTGTTTTAGTTCTCTCTCTTTAATATGGGTTATTTGAAGGGTGTTCTACACACAACTGGAGGATATATGGTCTACACTGCTACAACATTCAAATATGCATTTGACTACAAATCAACAGATGTATACTGGTATGCAAAGACTCTTGTCTTGACTGTTAAAGTTACTAACTAAAAGATACGCAACAGAGTGCTAATCTCTTTGCTTCTTTGACATAAGGTGTACAGCAGATTGTGGTTGGATCACTGGCCATAGCTATGTTACTTATGGACCGATGCTCAATGGAGCCACTGTTGTTGTCTTTGAAGGGGTAATCATCCATTTAGATAATTATAGATGTTTAGTGATTGATTATTTTCTATCAATTAATGTCTTGAATGAGAATTCAAGTTTAGGTTCCTCTCCCATAGTAATAAATTTTGCTTATAAAGCTATCAGCATTTAAGGCTATCAATATGTGCAAATGACTTTATTTCTCATATCTTTTATTTGGGGTGAACTGTTGGTTGTGATATTATCATTTGGTTTTGAAACAGGCTCCAAACTACCCTGATTCTGGACGCTGTTGGGAAATTATTGACAAATACAAGATTTCAATATTTTATACGGCCCCAACATTGGTGAGGTCTCTTATGCGCGATGATGATAAGGTAAGATATATGGAATCTTTCGGTTGTGTCAAAAAAAGTTATAAGCATTGTACTGATGCTTCCAAAGCTACAAGAAGTACAGGCTGTATTGATCTGTCCTTCAAATTCTTGCAGATTAATTAAAGCCTTATGTGGGGGATAAGACTTTTAACTTATTGACTAATATTTTCGTTTTTAATATATTTTGATTGTTCTAGTATGTAACACGTCATTCACGCAAATCGCTACGAGTCCTTGGAAGTGTGGGGGAGCCTATCAATCCGAGTGCCTGGAGGTTGGAGATCTAATATCTTGAGTCTTTTATTCATGCAATGATTTGACAGGGAACTTTATCGTTTACCGATTCTTTCATGTAGATGGTTCTTCAATTTAGTCGGTGATTCAAAGTGCCCCATTTCAGATACATGGTGGCAAACTGAAACTGGTGGCTTCATGGTGA